GCTGATGTGTATGTGATGAATGTGTTCCACCAGATGCATTTTCCCCCCTCAGCCAGCACGGGCTGCGAAGGCAGCGAGTTACTGCAGCAAGCAATGCCAGAGGCAGTCCCTGCACATCCACTGCCCAGCAGCCCCAGGGCTGGGGCTACAACTGCTCCAAGCACACGGGCAGCAGCTCTCCAACGCCATTCCAACAGCGCTGCGGTGTCTGATGGCACTGACCCCATGGACACAAACTGACTTACAAAGGAAATACATGCCAGGTTTCAATAAAACAGTGCTTTGTCTCTCTTCTGCTCACCTTTAGCAAAAATAAAACTGTAAATAAAACTGTAAGTAACACTGCAGGTTTTCTCTTCACCTCAAGTATTCTACTTGAGACTCAATTGCATAGGCAAAAACAAAGTAGATGACTACAATGGATTAATTTCTGTTTTCAAGAAACAGATAAGCAGGAAATAAATTGAATTATGAAGACTAAAAATGCCAATGCATTTATAGTGTGATCAGCCAGAATCACTGAATACACAATTACTAGGACTATTTATTTAATAAAAAAACACAAATTAGCTTTTTAATATTATACATGTATAAACAATGTTTGCATGTAAGAAGAGATAAAAAGGTAATTGACTGATATCATGAGCAGTTAACCTGTGTTTCATAAAATGAATATAATTTGCAATAAATGAAGGTCAAAACAACACCCTACAACAGCTGGGACTGACAAAGCACACACAGAACTGCCAGCTCCAACTGTTCAGCATGACTGCAATAGAAACTCCAGCAGAAGGCACTGCCCAGGTGTGTGCCATCTTTTAAGCTCCACGGCTCCACTGGCCCGCCCCCAGGTGGGTCTTCCAGTCAGTTGGCCAATCAGAGCCCAGTTAGCACTGCCCCAGTGTGTGATTGATGGATAACTCTGCCAATCAGAAGCTGGGTTAGCATCACCCCAGTATGTGATTGATTGATTGATTGATTCATTGATTCATTCATTCATTCATTCATTCATTCATTCATTCATTGACAGCTCAGCCAGGCTGGGGAGTCTGGGTTCACTGTCCCCTCACAAAGCAAGGCCTGGCCCGTCCCCAGCCCCCCACAAAGGCATTATTTTGGGACATGGATCTCATCCAATCTCTGTGAAGATGGATGAATCCCATCCATCACCCAAGCCTTTGCTGCTTTTCCTCACTGTCCCACGGCTTTTCCTGCCAGCCCAGAGCCGGGCTCAGGCAGGAGCTATGCTGGTCCTGGTCTTGCCACTCATCCCCTAAGTGTATTAATAGGTAGAGTTTCCTGGAATAAAACACAGATCCTTCCAAACATTTATATGTTCAAATGATAACAAATAAAAGCAAATCCTTAATTGAAAGGCCTTTGGGGTGCCCCATATTGCAATATGCACATGTAATACAGTAGTTCTACAATTTTTATAAGGTTATTTTTAGTTCTACAATTTTTATAAGATTAGTATATCTATCAAATATTGTCCAATTAGAAGTGCAGTTGCTTAGGTAGTTTTACCCAGGTACTGCCCCACTGGAATTAGTCCAGGGGCTTCTTTGCCCCATTTCTTGTGTCTTCTCAGATTCTGGTTGGAAAACATAACATCATTGTTGTAGGTTGTCTTCTTGAAAATAAGTCTAAACAGTATTTCAGGAATGTGTTAGGAGGTTAGCTTATTGTTCTGAAATGTAGAGATAAAAGGGTAGGAAAAGAACTAAAAGCTACAACCATGTATTAGCAGGCTCCAGAGTCACAAGTATATGAAAATATATAAAAACCTAAAAATCTTTAGTCATCAATACCAGCTCAATGAGGGACGAGGATGCTGATGTGCCTCGAACAGATATTCCTACTGTTGTCACTGCAGAAGGTTGTGCAGAACAGAGGACAGAGCTCAGATGTGCTAAACTAACACACCAAACATGAAATGTTATTTTCTTTTTTGAGGAAGAAAGTTTTAAAGTAATTCATCAGACTACTGCCATAACACTTAATTATACTTTCATTTGCAGTCCAGTTCCTACCTACTAGTCAGGCTCATTTATCAAATGAAGACCTACAAATGGAGAAAGAAACTTAGTAAAAAACAACCCCTCCCAAATACTTTTTATTAAAATGAAAAAGTAAGTAAAACAGGATGGCATAGACCAACACTAAATCATTAAATTAGCACTAAGCTTTTAAAATATTGAGTAATATCAGTGTAAGACATCCATATTATTCAGAATAATAACTCTTCCACAGAGATGTAAACAGGCAGGAGATCGATTTCCAATAAGTATTACTTGACATATTATCATTACTCAGAAAATGCACTGCCACAATGCATCAAAATAATCAACATGGAGCTATGATAATCCAGCAGACTGCCTGCTCTGAAAGCAGAAAGGATTGTTAATTTTTACACTATGGATTTGGTTTTAAAAATTCATTTTGAATTTTACAGTATGATGCTCTGTGAATCCAAAAAGTAATTTGTTTTTAAATAAGCTAGGCAAAAAAAACTATTTACTTTCTACTAAAATCCAAAAAAATCAAATGTTTCTAAAACTAGAATTCAGAAATAATACTAAACAGTATATTTTAAGAAGGCAATAGAATTATTCAATGAAATATGCTGATGCTAACACATCTTCAGCCTTTTATTTTCTTTTATTTTATTTAAATAAACAAACGCCTTCCACAATAGTCATGTGAAAAGGAACTGATATCATTGTTCTTCATAAGATCTCAGATATAACAGTTCAAATACAGAAACTGAGTCTGAATTTAACTACAAATACATTATTTCTGTTATAAAATGAAGAAAGGAGGGGAAATTTTCATTAAATCTAAAATATTGTTCCCTATCTGTACAAAACAATACTCATGGTCATTAAGAAGATTCTTAAAGCTTGCACATAGAGATCACACTCCTCTCTGCCAGCCCTTTTCTATTGAGTTATTTGTCCTCAATAAAAATTGTGTTTCAAAGCCAATCAAGAACAAACACAGCTTAATGGAAAAGGTTTATGCTAGTTACAAGCCAGGAGAATAGCAAACGGAAGAGTTACAGTGAAAATGTTTCTTTCTGGCCATGGAGATGATCCTGTTTTTGAGACTTTCTTGTACATTGTAAATATATGTGTATGTTAATATAATACACATATATGTGAAATACATCAATGCGTTTATATAGAGGAAAATAGTAAATTGGGAAACATATTACTGATGATTGAAAATTTTCAGCTGTTAAATGCTGAACCTGAATCCTCTTCTGCTAAAGACAAAGAAAGCTGCAGTAAGGACAGAAACACAAAACTCAACATCCCAAAGACTTTTTCCCCAGATACCCCTAATACCCAATATGCTAATAAAACAAGATGGAATTTTACAGTGAACTTATGAAAATTCACTTTCATTTTGGCTTTTAGATAGTTTGGCAGCATTTATAAATTATTAAGTTAGTTTAAGGTTTACAAGAAGGGAAACAAAAATTAAATGTAGCTTGTTAAAAAAAAATCAAATTAAATCAAATCAAGTTAAATCAAATCAAATTAAATCAAATCCCATTAAAGAAAAGCCTTGAAAACTTTTATCAAATTTTTGAAGAAATCCAAGATGTTATATTACATTTAAACTGTCTTAGGCTACAGTTGCAAAGCCACCAGTAAGATATGCAGTCTTTTCTCATTTTTATCAGTTTACAAAGGGTAACAGAGCTGCTTCTAATTGACATAAAGCTGATGAAAGATTTAAAGCCTTTGAATTTCATTTAGACTCTATTATGCATCCTGAAGTTCACGAATACTTGAACCAAATCCAACTGGACCTCAGGAAAGCATGTTATTAATGATATCCATACTTGAAGTTGAATCAGATCTATAGAAAAAAATCCTTTGTGATTTTTCAGTAAAGCCCTTTGTTCCAAACTGACATGGAACAAACAAACTTCCACACACATGGAAGTATGATAATAATATTGGATTTTTTTTTTTAATTCTGAAATATTAGTCAAAATTTTGGTTATTAATTTTAGGCAAATATCTTAAGAGAAGAAAAAGAAAATTTTGATACCACTGTTTAATCTGATTTATCTAACATAACTTCGGGACTGAAGAAATCAATTTGAGACATTTTCTGATCGACAGCCCAGTACATTCAAAAGTCCTACATCTTAGATGACATTAAAAAAAATGAAAATTTACATGAAATTTAAAAGTTATTGACCTGACTCTACTAACTGCCTTCAAATATTATGAATCTTCATTGGACAATCCCATCTTCAATCTACTGTTCTAATAGTTTGCTTTTTTCTGTTGCCTTTCATCTGAGGGTTGCACAAATCTTTCTGCTGACAAGAAAGCTTTAAAGAGAACAGAAACTTAAATGATTAAGATGGGAAACTTCCACACACAGCAAAGGCTTTGAAATTACTTATTTATTAATATAAACCAATACCTGAAACACGGAGCATGGTTTATAAGCAGTAATCTTCTGGAAGCTGAATGCAGTGTTGTATGGAGGTACTAAGCCTAGGATGCAAAATATTCAGCAGAAGCAAGAACATGTGGATTGTTGTGTCCAGTTCTGGGCTCCCCAGTGCAAGAAAGACAAGGAATTAGTGGAGAGGGTCCAGCAGAGGCCACAAACACGACTGGGGGTCTGGAGCATGTCTAATGAGGAGAGACTGCAGGAGCTGGGCCTGTTCAGGCTGGAGAAGAGACAACTGAGAGGGGACCCCACCAATGTATCCAAGTATCTTAAGGGCAAATGCCAAACTCCTTCCAGTGTTTCCCAGTGACAGGAAGTTCCATCTCAATATGTGGAAAAACTTCTTTCCTATGAGAATGAGCACTGGAACAGGTTGCCCAGAGTGGAGTCTCCATCTCTGGAGATATTCAAAACCTGCCTGGAGGTGATCCTGTGCAACCTCGTCTGGGTGAACCTGCTTTACCAAAGGGGTTGGACCAGATGGTCTCCACTCCAATCATTCTGTGATTCTGTGATATAAATACCACCCCCTGACTTTGTCACCAAAACTGAAGGAAATCACATAACCTCTCCAAACATGGATCTCTAATGGAAGAAATAGGTTCAAAAGGGCACAGCTACATGAAATAAATATTAAGTAGCTGCATTTAGCAACCAAAGCTACCCCATAACTGAAAGAACTACGGCAATTAACAAGGAACATTTCAGAATTCAATCCATAATAATATACAGGACTGAGGATTATAATAAAAAGGAAAGAGAGAAAATTACTGCACTTAGTGTTGAATGTGTTTTTTCCAACACATTGTAATGTAGCTATTGTGTGGTGTGTGATTCTCTGATGATAAATTATGAGAGCAGAGATATTTCTTTTCTTCTTGTTAATTTCCTGCACAAGGTAATATGCAATCTGCAGCAGCCAAAATTCACTACACTTAAATCTAACCCACTTCTGTGGCAATGACCCAAACATAACAAGTATATAATACTCCCAGACAATTAATATAGTTTGCATCCATTATGCTTCTAAGCTCTTATTCAAATACCAATTAATTAAATAATTAGTAATAGCAGTTATCAAGGTTTAACATAGTGTATGAAGATGTGTTATTGTGCATGACAGAAAAGACAAACTAGAAAAAACTTCTTTTTTTTTTACTTTTAATTTAATTTAATTTTTTAAAAAATCATGGTTTTTTTACTTTTAATTTAATGGAATTCTATGTAGCAATATATAGGGAAGTTGAGTAAATAAGTTTGATCTCCTTTAGCTGTTACCATCAGAGCCCCTTTTAGGAACATTTGGTCTGCCTGTACTGCTTTATTTGAGGCTGAAACTGAACCTATAATGACTATGTATCATTCCTCTATTTTCCCCATATGGCCTTTTGTGTCTTCTTAGCGTTATTTTATTACAATATTCCTCTCCCCTCTCTCTGACTCTTAAACCATTCTTCAGGAAGAGAATCATAAAGTTGTGGAATAGTTTGCTTTGGAAGGGACCAACCAACTTGGGTGTCTTCCCTGGATTACCTTCTTCATGTCTAGAAAAGGCATCATTTCCTTTCTGTCCAGCACAAGTTTCTTTCTTCATTTTTTCTTTTCTTTTTTTTTTCCTTTTTTTTTTTTTTTTTTTTTTTTTTTTTTTTTTTTTTTTTTTTTTTTTTTTTTTTTTTTTTTTTTTGTGTTAAAGTTTTTGAATTCATATCCTAAGAGGCAGTCATGGAGACAGTCAATGCCATTCATTCAGATGCAGAATTTCCATGCATTTGCCCTTCCTTTTCTCATCTCCCCATCCTGAAAAGGTCACATATTCCATAGAATTAACTTAATAATACCTAAAGAATTGCTTGTGGGGCCTGTACTATTAACTAGTATTCAGTGATCAATAACAAATATTTTTCTGAACCGTGACCACCTAGAACTTTATCAAATCTCAATCAACATACAAAAGCTGAGCCAATCTACACCATTGTTATTCTTAGAATGGACATAAATTTTAGGCACCAAGATGGAAAGGCTTCTGTGATGGAGGAGGAAAATGTGGCGTATATAATAACAAGAGGATTAAGAGAAATAACTCTCAGGATAACTGTGAGTTTGCAGAATAAAATGATTCTCAGTATTTGCTTGAAGCTTTTTTGCAGCTATATTGATCAAATTAATATTCATATTCCTTGCAAGTTGCTTATAATATTAGATATTATTGTATTCTTCCATTAATAGTTTATCTACTAACCTAAATGTTAACTTAGTTATTCTGTTGATCATTAGATACTTATGAAGGTTCTACCCAGCTGGTTTGTTTACAACTTCTCCTTCTAATATCTTCTGAATTATTTACAACTTACACTGCAGTCCTGCTCAAAACCATTTCACAAAGCATTCCAGGAAAGAAAAAAACATCTGTACTTCAGCTTGAGTTGCTTTTCAAATTTAATTGTTTTCTTCCTCAGGCTATAAAATCTCTAAACTATGTACTTAAAATGTCTAAAAGATTGTATGTATATTCTGAACTCACAGTACAATACATAATTCAGTTTGTTTTTAAAAGAAGGCTATCTTGTATCTTTTTTGTGAAAACACAGAAATCTTACTTACAGTTTGTTTTGGGTCAATCTCAACTGCAAAATGGGTGGGATTACTGTTAATCATTTGTAGCTCCAGAGTTTCATGAGAAGGATTAGCAAGAGGTATGTATGTATGAGCCCATCTAGAAAAAATCATATGCACAATGATGATTTATTACAAAGCTCCTTCCATTTCAAGTCATTATGCATACAAGTTTTCTTATTTCCTGAAAAATTCTAAATTTCTTAATCTTAAAAATAATAATAGTTTTATTGCATTAACACTTGCCCACAAGTGTGGAAACATATTTATTAACTTCAATTATTATTAATAATCATAATTAATAACAATAAATCCTGAATTCATTCAACATTTCATTATGTTCATTTTTTGTGTTGTTTATTACAGCATAATCATAGAATCATTATATTGTAAATGTAGATTATATATTCTAATGAGACTAGTGACCCTCCCAGAACAAAGATTGGAGTATGGTGATTGCTTAAATCAGCTGGCCCTCTATTTTACAGACTTTCCTTCTTTATTTTCCAGGTAAAGAATACTCATGAGATACTTTCAATAGGGAGAAAACTTTTGCAATAATTCATAAGACTCCCAAAATTTCCTCTATTCTGGTCAAAATACTACATTTTTCGTTTTCAGAGAAGTTATATGACCATAAATCACATTCTTGTTGTAATACCAAGGGACACAGAGAGGAGGTTCAAGGTGAATAAGTGAAAACAGTAAATAAGAAAAGTTTGAAAAATTAGATAGATATATTGGTTGTGCTGTAATTTATCTCCTAATGGATATTCCCTTTAATCAAAGCTGTGGCAGGTCAACTTCCAGATTGCTCCACATATTTATCATCTGGGAAAAATTAGTCCGTTAATCATAGCTAAATGAGTAAGGAAAAAGAAAATATAAAAAGCAACATTCAGAAGCTATTTCAGTCCAGCTTAATGACTGTAACTTCAGACCCTAAAACCTGTTCACAGGTGGATTCCTTCCAATGCAAACAGTGACATAAATCCTCAGCAGTGAGCACCAGACTTGTTTCTGACTAACACTGTCAAAGCATTCTATCATTGAGATCTCAAAACCTGAGAGTAAAGAAATATTAGGAAACTTCCACACAGGAACTTCAGACTCACTTAATAATTCCCATTTTTCACATTTACCCTCTCTACTCCTTTTTTTGGCCTGGTCTCTTTCATTAGTAATACTTTGTCAAGGGGAAAACTAAGTTGGAATATCTAAAATTTCAGTAAGAAATTACTGGACTGTTAGAGGTTCTTCAAGTCATCAAAATCCTGCCACCCCACACAGATGGACTATCATGGTTATGCTGGAAAAACTGTTGCATGTGGCAGTAAATTCCAGATCAGTGTGCACATCATTCAACTGACTCATCTTCAATGTCTCCACTGTGGAGCCTGTAACACGATGGATAAGAAAAGATGAAAAATATCAGGGAGAAGGTTTCCCTCCTTAGAGACATATGCTAAGGGATGCGTTAAATTTACCTTGACATAAACAAAAAGTAGATCTGACTGTGATAGCCCCAGAATTTTAGGCAATCTGAAGAATAATTAAAGGATAAATTGTTTTATTTATTTTTTTTTTCTCTTTCAAGAATTGGTTAGAAATTGATTCTAAGTAGTTAGTGGTGTCTTGGCCCTAATCCAATTCTAGGTAATGTTTCAAGGTCACAAATACCTAAATTTTTCAGATCAATATAAAAAAGAATACATCGAGGACACAATGAAAAACATTATTCTTATATTTATATGCTAATGCTTCTTCTGCATTCAAGGAAAAGGTGATAGAATAGAAATTAATCTGTTAAATAACTACAAATCTTCCCCAGCCAGAAATGCTTCAAACATATGATGATGTTTACATTTCACATCTCTGGGTACATAGCAAGGAAGTACATCCATTGAAAAAACTCCCAAACTGACATCATTCTTAGACAATAAACAGATGCCTACCTGCACTGCTTTTACATGTTCAATATACATTAATGCAGCCAATTTACTTGGACTTGGACTCCACTTTTCATGAGGCAGAGAAGTTCCCAGTAACTGAACAGTAACCTCAATGCCATCACAGACTGCCATTGTCCAGCAAAGCTGAGGACATTATGCTGACACTGCTGGACACCACCAAAAAAGCCTCTTGGCACTCACTTTTGTGCTATTTGTATGTACTGATGTGATCCCCTCCCAGCCTTCTCCTCTCCAGACTAAAGAGGCACAGCTCTCACAGTCTCTCCTCATAAGAAAGATGCTCCAGACCCCTCCTCATTCCTGTGGCCTCCACTGGATTCTCTGCAGAAGTTCCTGGTCTTTCTTGTACCAAGGAGCCCAGAACTGTCCCAAACTGGACACAATGCTCATCCACATATTTACAGATACATAGGAACTACAATATGCATTTACTTGTAAAGGGAAAGGAAATCTCATTTGAAAAAATAAAATATAGGCCTTGAGGAGTTTTAGACAAGAGTTTTGACAGGAAAGTTATAGTTAATGGAGCTAATCTTTTCCAACATCCTTTTTACCTGCAGTAGGAAAGGATGACTTGCCATTTTCCACTAGACCATTTGTGCATGTAGTTTTCAGGCAGTGCATGTCAGAGAAAATTATGAGTGCCAGAAAGTCTGAATAAAAGGGTTTTAAGTAATTCCTAACTCCTAATAGCAAGAGCCTACACAGTAGAAAAAAAATATGGTTTTTACTCCAGTCAGCCCAGAATTTTAAAGTAAAAGCCAGGAAATAGCACAGTTTTTTTTTTTCTTTAGAACTTAATAAAAAGGCATTGTCAGTTATCTCCAGTCTGTGCATCATATTTGAACAGTAGAATATTTTCACTTACAAAAATTTAATCAGGTAAAATTTCATGTTGTGCTCTCTAACATTTCTACTCAGTATATAATGTATATTCACTACAGACTTAATCAAAGATACACAGAAGTAAGTGGAATTTAGTATGCAAAAAACCAGTGTGTCCACAGAAACCATTAGGAAGTGGAGGTAATATGTGGAAAAGCACTACTGAAATTTTTACATTTTTCAAATTCTTATCCTCAAAGTTTTAGTTTATGTTTTGAAAGTCAGAACTGAACTGAACATTATGCTGTCAAAATGCACATTGAAATTTTGTTGATGGATGGTAATAATTGGGTTAATTTCTCTAAGGCATTAATTTTCTTAACACTTGAAGTGTTTCAACCATGGACAGAAATTGCATTTTGCCATGTCTTGAGAGGTTAAAAGATACTGCTAGCTGGTATACAAGCATTTGTCAAGCATGATTTTCAGTAAATTCCTAGTTCAGAGAGAAGGAAAGAAACAGAAAATAAAGCAAACCTACAGAGCTCTTTACAATGGATCTGGGTGCTTACATTCTGCAGCATTGTCAAAATGATTTCTAAAAAATGAATTCAAAGGAAGTTTACATAGAGGCTAAAATTGTATTTCAATTGCTTTTCTGCATGGAATATTTCACCCACCTGCAAATATATCTAAAAAATATTCTGCAATCTATTACAGCAGACATAGAATACTATTCTGAGTTTAAACTCTTCATATGTTTTCCAGGATACCTAAAATCAGAGACCCAGTCCAGCATGATGAACTACTCACTTTCCAAGCTCACATCCCACATCAGGCAGCAGGGCTGGCAATGGCTTGTCTACATTGAACTTCAGGGCGTACCAAAATTCTCCAATCACATCTGACCGGAACATGACACTAAAAACAGATACAGAGGCTTAACATGACAGCTGGTTTTTTTTTCAGATCATTAAAAAACCCAAACAGATTAAAATTCAGGAGAAACCTAATGAGTTCAACATAGTGACTTCTTTAATTAGATCATATTTTTCTTCTAACACTTTTCGCTGCTATCTGAATTCAGCTACCAAGTCTAATAATATTTAGAATTACTGATGCGACAAAACCTCTTCTTCATTTTTCTTAAATTCTATCCATAAAATTAATTTGGTGTTTGTAGTTTTTGTTTGTTAGCTTGATTTTATCAAAAACACAACCCAAACATATTTCAGCTTATAAAAGTAAGCTTTAATTTCATTTCAATATCACAGTATTTTCTTTTTAGGCATTTTGAAGGGCAACATATAAATGCTATACACTAATTTTAGAAAGGAAATTTTTTTCACATCTAGTGATAAAGTGAGAAATAGATATAGACACATTCCTGTGAGCATGCCAAAGATATACACTTCAAGGAATATTCAATATATTGTATTGATATACAATCAAGGATTGTCATGACTGAAAATTGTGTTTTGGTAGGTGAGATATCTACAGCAATATATTTCAGTTACAGACATTCTAATACAGTAGTCTCCTACTGCAGAATTTCTTTTCTATTTCTTGAGGATTTTTGAGTAGCTGAGTCATAATAACATTAAACCAAAGCACTGGAAGCATACAAAAACTTAGAAGAAATGCACTGCACAAACCCATGACCCACTAAGGATGAGGTCTTTTTCTAAATTATAGATAACTATGTCTATTCCTTGACTTTATGGTTCCAGACCATCCCCTGTGCTAACAGAGCTTTTAAAGTGAGTGTAAAACAGCTCTAGGAAAGAATCAACCATTTGAGAAGGAACACCTGCCACAGTCCCTTTTACCAACAGCTCTTCCCAGCTGCTAACATAGCAAAGGAAACAGAGCATGGCTTCAGAAAAAGAAGTTAATAGTGCGGATGGAATGTGCAAGTAGCTCTGTCCAGCTGTAAATGCAGTCTGTGGGAGCTACTGCAATTTAAAAGAGCTATTACACACTTCTGGAACAAAATTGCAAAACCATTTGGAGAACGTCCACACGTGCTTTATTTCACCTCTGCATATATCCCCTAAGCCCCAGCCCACCAAAGCTGAGCCCAAAATTTTGTCCTGTTAAAACAAACATTTATCTTATTATTTGGAAATTCTGCACTTGAAAAATACCAGAAATATTATCTGGTATGAGAAAAAAAAAATTAACTCTATACTCATCTTTAGTTTAAGATAGCATAAATCCTACAAAAAATAAAAAGATACTTACTGGAGTTATAACAGTACTTATTTTTATAAAACATTATTCTAATTGAATCTGTATCCCACAATGATACCCAGCATTATTCTGGTCTTTGGAAAAATCAATACAAGCAAATTGAATAAATCTCTGACTGGATTTTGACTTTGTAAATATTATTTCAAAACTGGTCAGGTGTCTCCGCCCTCCTCTTAAAATACCACCCCATCCCCATATTTTTGCAGTCAGTTGAGATAACTGAAAAACAGGGAATTGTTTTTCAATCAGCCTTTAGACTAAATAATGCTTTGGTAACCAAATTCCAGGAAAACAAGCTTTGCAATTCTACATTTTTCAATGACTTGCTGAACTGTTTTAGTTGAAACCAAGACCAAGAGGTCATCTGTCTTTTAATTGCTAATTATCATACCTGCATGTTTTCGCTGGGATTTCCAATGTAAGGAAAAAATTTAATTTAAAACCTCTCCATATTCATTTAGTGGGTCATGGTTAAGTAATGGAAGATCATGAAGGTAAATATATTTAAGTGAAGACAGTTAAAGGGTTCTCCCTTTATGTTTTTACAATTTCATTCCTTCTCCGAAGAAAAAATGAAATTGTGCTATTTCCTTTACAGAACTTAAAAATTTAGAAAACTAACAATCAATAAAAAGTTTTCAAAGGGGGCTTCTAACATTAAGTAAGTTTCTAAAATGTTGTTCACAAAATTGTAGTGAACTAGAATAGCAAGGAGTTATTCTATTGCCTGTCAGTAATGCTTTGCCCCTGAGAGGAAACCTACTGTTAGGAACACAATACATTTCAAGCTGGAAATTTTCTTAATTCCATTTATTGACTTTTGTGGGAGTTTTTAGGGCAATATTTTCATCAAGGGACTGAGGTTTCAATGAAAGTAGTTAATTTATTAGTAAAACAGCCAAAATCACAAGTGTCAAAACTCTACAACATACCTTCCAGCAAAAGCACCAAGAGCAGCTGCAGAAAACTCTAGGTGATATGAAAATGTTTGTTTGGGCTTGATAATGAAAGATTTTTCTCCAAAAAGGGATGAATGGTCCAGCAGCACATTCATCTTGAGGACTTTATTGGTAGGATTAGTGATGGGAATATTAATTCCAACAGTATCCTAGAAAGAATTAAAAAACCCAAAATCACAAAATTAATGATGAGCGATTACACTTAAAAGATATTTCTTAAAAATCTGTAAGGTGCTTACTCATTGTCTACACTTACACAAACTCCGGTTGCACCTTTGTTTCATGTATGAAGTAACCAAAAAAAAAAAAAAAAAAAAAAAAAAAAAAAAAAAAAAAAAAAAAAAAAAAAAAAAAAGCCAAGTTGCAGCAAGAAACATTTCAGACAACCTTCAAATTGTAAACTCTTTAATTCCATAAATACGGAAAAGTTCAATATTTTCTGGCTGGTCTGCATTCTAACAGTCCACTTCACCTTCCAAGATATGTCCAAGGCTTGCCAAAATACACCTTTCAAGCCCATCTGCTGCAATCCCAAGCAGGTAAAAACTCCAAGCTGGCTCCCAACAGCCAAGCAAAGACAATTGGAAATATCTGCTTTGCAAGCTGGCAAATGATTTGGCTGAATTCTGCTGAATTTGGTCCCTTAATTCATAAGTTACATCCTAATACTTGACATTAAAACAACACCACCACAATAAATGTTCCCTCTCTTATTCCTTTAGGCATTTCTGTCACTACTGATCTCTGTACCATCTTTCCCTGATCACCTGGAAAACATTGATACAATTAAAGATACATAAAAAACTCCTGTTGCTGTAATAAAAGAGAGCCAAAAGGTGGCCTCATTAGATAAATCTGCATATTTCACATGTGGAACACTTTTAGGATGAGCAGGAATTGGGCAGAGACAGCTCACTCTGCACAGCTACATTTCAGCAGAGTTCCCTTGGCTGTAAGGTTAGAAATGGTGTCAGTTCATCCCATGTGCCCTGTATATCAATACAATTCATGAAACAAAGCACTTAACAGAATAGACCAGAAGGAATTTACTTATGAAGGCAGCACACTGTGATAATCTAGGAGGTGTACCTGCAATTTAAAATACATATGTTCTATTTATATATCTTCATTCATAGAAAAGACACAAAATCCAGAAATAAAGATATGCATTTATTTCTCTGTGCCTATATTTGTGTCTACTCTTACTTTGGTCTTTTTTCTTTGCTCTAGCGAAGCAGTTTACTTCAAAATCCATGCCAGTTTGGCTTTTTTTAACATATAGTGATTTGTTTCTTACAGCAAAATTATTTCACATAGTTTGTTTGAAAAAGTAAATAATTTAAGTTGCAAAACGAAAGGAGAAAAAAATAAAATGCCTATTAAAATTAATAACACACTAAAAATGAATATAAAATACATTTATGACCCCACACAGTCCTGCCTCCCACTGATTTCAGCCTGCCTAAGATTTGGTAAATTTCTATACATTTCCATGGAATATACATAAACACATTTAATGTTCTACAGATGGCAAGATTACACTAACAATTTAAATCATTTAAGTGCCTTGCATCAGTAAAATGGGATTTAAATTTGCCATAAAATATTTTAAAGCTCAGATTAATAGTTTTTACTGTGTAAACAAGTTTCTAAATCTATCTACCATTTTATTGCCAAAGGGTTCATAACAATTTTATAGTAAAACATCTACATGCTGTGTTGAAGAAATACTTTCACAGTAAAAAGGAAATATGGGACAGCTGATTTAGGAAAAAAGCAGCAACTATGAAAGAAATCTTTTTAATTTTGTATACAAAGGCAATTTTAAATTGCCAGTATTATCATAAAACACTTTTCTCTTTCCAGTACAAAATGAATGCTTAAGATTAGGTATTTCTCTGGAATTTCCCAGGAAGTTTGCCTGGAACTGCCATACACATTTCAATGATCTGCTACTTCATATATGGTAATAAGAGCAGATGTATATTTATCACTAGAATATATATAATTTTTTTTTTTTACATTTCTAGGCCTTGTTAGATTGTTATGGAAGCATAAAACTAGGATAAATAACAAAATGCCCATGAAATTGCTAAGAGTATTATTTTTTCTTGTAAGTGCCATTTTATCAGACCTAATGTAAAAGAGGAACATCACAGGCAATTTCCAAACACATTTATAGTCATTAATTTAGTTCCACTTTTCAGTGCTGAGTATTTTATAAACATTTTGACAGAGGAAAAAATTTAAAATTGAGAAAAGAAGGAAATTAATCTCTTTCCTCAAATATTTCTAATATCAAGGCTGCCAGTCACCAAAACAGAGCCACTTCTGTGCAATATGTCATGCTATTATTCCTTTAGAACTTTCAGTTACCCACTTCTTGTCCAATGCAGGTTATTTAAAATAATCTCATCAGAGTTAAATAAAATGAATTGTAAATATGAGATAACATTTATTCTCTGTGGAAATTGACAAAACAATGGACTGCTAACACTTGATCCTATGTTCATAGCCTAGGTCTATGCACAGGTTTAATACTCTGTAAACCAGACTCTAGTTTCAAAAGATGCTCACCATTATCAATTCATCATTTGTGATATTATACTTCTTTGCTAAAATATTTTCCTGACATATTTTTTGCCAAAGACTTTCTCATCATTCTATTCTCTATTTCCTTCTTTGGGCAACTGGATCTAATTTATTTAAGTCCATAATATGCAATTTTACTTTTATTAATGTATGCACTGCACTGAGCTATCAACTAATCCTCTTCTAAGTTTAACAGGGTAATTTGCAGGAAGATGGACTCATTCTACAATTAATTTGCATAACAATTTTCTGTGCTCCATCTTCAGTAATAATCCTACTCTTACCATCAGCAGGTGTCAATAAAAACCCTACCTGGCCAAAGTGTCTGAGACTGACTACAATTCTTATTCTTTAAAAGAATTCTTTTCAATTAAAATCCAGTTTCATTAAGGAGACAGTGTTCATTCCACATTGTTTGAAGCTTTTTCAATCCATAGACCTTGAGGTGAAAGCATTTCTATTTGCTACCAAGTTTTCCAGGCTGTAGCTATAGAAGCAAATTTTCAAGTTGAGTAAGCAGCAAGAAAGTTATATTTATAGGCCTGGTGAGGTAATGGAGAAGAAATTATTCCCTTTGTAGGTCCTTGTCCAAATCATGGTTCTTCCAGATGGACAAGTAAGAAGTGCCTTCTTTCTCTGTGCTGCACCTGACAAGCAGGAATGCTGCTCACACAAGGACTGAACTTGGAATGGTGGCAATATTGTTGAAAAAATTGATCTTGGCTTCTCTCTTCTATAGGCTCAAAATGATCAGAGCTTTCAACATCCCCATCAGTGTTTACCTGTCAGTAGCAGGAGTCAGAGCCTCCTGCTGTATTCTCATCATTAACTCAATTCTGTTTCCTGGATCAAAAGAGGCTCCAGTGAGTTGAGCCGCAGCAGTTGATAAAGTTTCAGGGCCATGCTGAACAGAGCTCAGCCCAGTTTGGTCAAACTTCTAGAAATCAGTTCTGGCTCTTGAACTGCTTGGTGCCAAGTGTCCCCAAGTCACACCTCACTGTCCTTTTCCACACACACACCCAACCCAGACACACACGTCCAAGCTCAGCTGGGCCTTTCTGGCACTCATCATTCACATGGAACTCCTGAGCTCCTCTGTCCTGAGGGGCTGAGTCCTTCAGGCTTCCTATTCACTCCTAAGTCAATGGAGAAGATCTTTGTGAAGTGAACCATCTCCCTCCCTGTACAACCTCTTTAAGCTCCGTTTCTGGTTTGCAGGTGTTTTTTTTATCTCTGAGATGTAAATGAATTTCCAAGATAATCCTCTCCTTTCCATGTAGGGTTATGAGGCTAGAAAACCATAGCACTGCTATTCTCTTGATACTCCATTTTCCCATTTTACTTGGCATATTTTGCCTTACAAAATATCAGCTCTCAAAAAGGCACCAACTGTTCATCAGCAGTGAAGTCTATCAGAACAGCAGACTGAACTGCTTGAAATTTAGGACTAAACAACTTAAGCAAATTATATATTTGTAAAACCTGCTTAGCAAGGAATCCATTCTTACTGCAGCACAGAAAATTTACTCAAAGGGAAAAATTTGCACAGAACATTTAATATAAGAAGCTAAAAGGGCAGTGAGTTTCAGGTTTAAATTTACATAGAAAAATCACACCAAATTGGATTTCTTTTAGCTGAAATGCACATTAGTATCTAAGTAATAATGCCCTGAGACAGAATACAGCAATGATTAGTTCATAAGTTATTACAATAATTCTAAGTTCCCTGACTAAAAATTACAACACTGTTAACCTCTTAATGGGGCCTACATATTCTACCAAGTAAACAAACTGGGAAAACAATATTTTGCAGGAGGTGATTACAAAAATTATTTTTCTGAAATGGAAGGAAAGAAATAGACTGGAAAAGCATTAAATTTAATGACTGAATTGATCTAGGATGTCCTGGGGTCCACCAAAAGATACCACAACCCACAACAAACTGATATTACAATAATTTATACACATATAGAAAAACTAAGGAACTAAGTAATATGCACATATTTGGATTCCCATGTAAAGACAGACAGAAGAAGATGCATCAAAGATAAGTTGAATGTTAAGTGAAGTGCTATTTTAAGATAATTATAAGTATACCTGACAAGGGGATACAGACCGAGTCAAAGTAAAATTAACATCCCAAATTCCCACAACTGAGAAAGTAATAACTATGCTCACATCTTAATGAATACTTTTTTGAATTTGAAATCAAGGGCACCTCTGCATCCATGGAGACTGAAGCTCAATAACTCTCCATACTCCTGAGATCCAAATCCTGATGAAGATTTCCTTCTCAGATTCAGCAGCATTAGAAGAAATTACCAATTACAGTTACTTTTTGCCAACATCTATACACCTATACTGAAGATTGGCACTTCCAGTGATCACCTCAGTTGCCTAAATCACCTCATACAGTAAACTGACTTATCAAAGCTCAGCTGGGTTTGACAGTCCTACTAAAAAAAATGTAGAAGTCAATCATTCCATTACCAGAATCAATGGAGAAGGAGATGACAGAATCATAGAACTTTATGGGTTGGAAGAGACCTTAAAGATC